ATATTTAATTTTAGAACATTTATCTTTTATTGCTACATTTTCCCTGCGCCTCAATCGCACTCAAAAGTATGTACAAAGTATTTTGTACATCGTTCCCAAAAAAAAAAAAAAAAAAAATATTAAAAAAAATCAAGTCGATTGTAATTCTTAATTTTTTTTTAATCTATGTCAGGTGTAATCCTTACGGAAATATTTTTAAAAAAGTCCACCTTGTTTATTATCTTTGAAAAAATATATTTTTTTAAATCCATGTCGTTTATAATTCTTAAAGAATTTTTTTTAATCCAAGTCACTTAAAATCCTTGAAAAAGTATTTTTTTAAACCCCATGCCGTTTATAGTCCTTAAAGAAATATTTTTAAAAAGATCCATGTCGTTTAAAATCCTTAAGAAAATATCTTTTTACAATCCAAAAAAAAATTTTAACTCTTTTTCGCTTATAATCCTTAAAAAAATATTTTAAAATTCATGTAGTTTATTATTGTTCAAAAAAATATTTTTTAATCCATGCCGTTTATAATTCATGATTCTTTTTAATCCACGTCGTTTATAGAAAAAAACATTTTTTAAAAAAATCCATGTCGCTTATATTTCTTGAAAAAATATTTTTAAAAAAATCTATGTCGTTTATAATTTTATAATTCTTGGAAAAATATTGTTAAAAAATCAATCCTTGCAAAAATATTTTTTTTAAATCCATGTCACTTATAAACCTTAAAAATTATTTCGTTTAAATCAACGTTAATAATCCTCGAAAAAATATATATTTTAAATCCACGTCGTTAATAATACTTTAGAAAAAATATTTTTTTTTTTTAATTCACGTCGTTTATAATCCTTGAACAAATATTTTTTTTTACAAAATTAACATCGTGTACAATCCTTTAAAATAGCATTATTTTAAAAAATCCACGTCGTTTACATTCCTAGGAAAATATTTATATAAAATTCACATCCTTGAAAAAAACTTTTTTTAAAAAATCCTTGTCGTTTAAAATTTTTGCGAAAATACTTTTTAAAAAAAATCAATCCTTAAAACATATCCGGATAGATAAAGGTTGAATTTCGAACTTTTGTATTTCGGTCCTTTTGCATGATAGGATTGTGATAAATAGGTTGTTTTGAAAATTTGTACTGTAATGGTACAAAAAGTACTAAGTAGTACTATATTTGGTACAATTTGGTAATGGGTGAAGACATAGTGCTTGAAATCTGAAATGTTGGTATTGTGGTCGCTTTTCATGTGTAGCCTCGACCTATGGAGATGGTTCCGGAAATGTGTACTATAATTGTACAAAAAGTACTGAATGGTATTGGGAAATCTGGAATGCTGAAATTTGATATTGAGGTCTCCGTTGAAATTTGGAATTGAAATATGGTGGTTGTTTTGGAAATGTGCACTATAATTGTACGAAAAGTGCCAAATTGTACTAAATTTTGGTATTGAGTGAAGGAATAGATTTAAAATCCTGATATTTGATATGTATGCCACTGTTGGTGTCTGTGGTTGATAGGAGAAGCCGGTTTTGGATATGCGTACTACAACTGTACTAACCGGTACTAAATTTGTATCTGTGTTTGAGATTTGGCGTTGGTGTGGAAATGTATTCAATATTTGTACATAAAGTACTAAATAGTACTAAACTTGGTATTGTGTGAAGAGTTAGGTTTGGAATCCACAGATTTGATATTGAGGTCTTTGTTGGTATCTGAGGTTGAGATATGGATTTGGTTTAGGAAATCTGTACCTTAATTTTACGAAAGGTACTAATTAGTTCTACATTCGGTATTGGGCGAAGGAGTAGATCAGAAATCCTGGTATTTGATATGGATATCACTGTTGGTGTCTGTGGTATGGAATTATGTACTATAATTGTTCGAAAATTACTAAGCGGTATATAATATGGGTGAAGAGATACAGCTGAAATCGTAAAATTTGATATGGATGACACTGTTGGAGTCTGTGGTTGAGGTTTGCAGAAGGAATTCTGAAGGGGATGATTTAGACGTTTCCTTGAAAAAAATATATTTTTCAAAGAGAATCTAGATGCGAATTTTTCAAGGATAATCTAGGCGAGGATTTGAAAAAAAAAAGTCATGGATTAAAAAAAAAAATATTTTCAACAATCCAGTTCTAGATTTGAATTTTTTTTAAATATTTTCATGCTTAATTAAATAAGGATTAAATAAAGGATGATATGTCGTGAATTAAAAAAATATACATATTTGGACGTGGCTTTTTTTAAAAAAATATTTTTAAGAATAACCTAGACGTGGCTCTTTAAAAAAAAATACTTTTAAAGAATAACCTAGACCTGGTTTTTTTATACCCTACACCACAAGGTGGTCAGGGTATTATGTCTTTGTGCATTTGTTTGTAACAGGCAAAAGGAAACGAGATAGAGCCATAGTTCCTTGTGATCATCTGCATAGAATCACATTCTGAGTCGATTTATGCATGTCCGTCTGTCCATGTATTTTTGTAAACAAAGTACAGGTCGCATTTAATGCCCGATCCAGATGAAATTTTGCACAGATCATTTGTTTGGCCCAAGGACCCTATTGAAATTGGAGATAATTGGTCAAAATTTAGATATAGCTCCCATATATATCTTCGTCCGATTTGCCTTTTATTGTGCACCAAACGTGTAATATCAGCCCGAATTGTATGGAATTTTGCATATACACCCAAATTAGGCCTGAAAATATGTATGCCAAATTTGATCATAATCGGTTTAGATATAGCTATAGCTCCCATATATATTGTTCATCCCATTTGTTATATTTGTTAACCACAACCGTAATATGCACTTCGTAACAACAATATTCAGGGAAATATATCAAATAAAGCTCAGAAATATCTTTGCCAAATTTTATCGAGATCGGTTCAGAATTGGATATAGCTCCCATATATATCTTTATCCGATTTCAAATTAATTGTGCACCAAATGGTCAATACAATTCCGAATTTAAAAGATACAAATGCTTCGGCATATTTAGTCCTTTGAACTTTAAATTATAATTATAATCATAGCGTGTATGATTGAATTCTCCCATAAAAACTTTTAATTGTTATGCGGAGCTCTACTAAATTAGCAAAGTGGAGTAGGGTATCATAAAGTCGGCCCCGCCCGACTTTAAGACTTTCTTTACTGGTTTTAAATATTTTTTAAAAATAACCAAAACGTGGATTTTTTAAAAGAAAATATTTTTAAGAATAACCTAGACGTGGATTTAAAAAAAAATATTTTTAAGAATAACCTAGACGTGTTTTTTTTAATGTTTTTTAAGAATAACCTAGACGTGTTTTTTTAATATTTTTTAAGAATAACCTAGACCTGGATTTAAAAAAAAAGATATTTTTGAAGAAGGTTTTTTAAAAAAAAGGTTTAGAATAATCTAGACGTGATTTTTTTTTAAAAAATATTTTTTAAGAATAACCTAGACGTGAATTTTTTTAAAAAAATATTTTTTAAGGATAACCTAGACGTGGAGTTTTTTAAAAAATATATTTTTTAACAATATCCCAGACGTGTTTTTTTTAAATATTTTTTTTAAGAATAATCTAGACTTGGATTTTTTTAAATATTTTTTTAAGAATAATCTAGACTTGGATTTTTTTAAAGAATGTTTTTAACAATAATGTGGACGTTGAAAAAAATATTTTTTCAAGAGAATTCAAAACGTGAATTAAAAAAAATATTTTTAAGAACAATCTAGACATGGATTTCAAAAAAAAAAAAAATATACATATATATATATATATATATATATATATATATATATATATATATATATATATATATATATATATATATATATATATATTTATATATATATATATATATATATATATATATATATAATAATCTATAAGAATAATCTAGACTTGGATTTTTTTTTGAAGAATGTTTTTAACAATAATGTGGACGTTGAAAAAAATATTTTTTCAAGAGAATTCAAAACGTGAATTAAAAAAAATATTTTTAAGAATAATCTAGACATGGATTTCAAAAAAAAAAAAAAAAAAAAAAAAAAAAAAAAAAAATATATATATATATATATATATATATATATATATATATATATATATATATATATATATATATATATATATATATATATATATATATATATATTTCAAGAGTATTCAAGACGTGGATTTTTTGTACTTTGTATTTTTTTTACCAGTATTTTTGAAAAATATTTTCCTCACATACAAACCGAATATTGATTGTCCTTTTATTGCTGAGGACATCTACATATTCTGGATTAAAATTCCAACCCTTCTTACTCATAGGAGCTTTATTTTCTCCCTTGTCATAATTCCTGTTATAAAAACGTCTATGTATTTGTACACATGTGTGTGTGTTGTGTGTGTGCCTGTGTGTTCACAGGATTAGGCTAAAAATAGCAACTTTGAAAAAATATCACATCATATTTGCCCAGTGCAACAGCAACATCCTTAAATCTCTGGCAAAATGTTTTGAGTGGGAGTAAAGTCATGTCTCTCTATGTGTGTGTGTGTGGTTTGTGATTACTTTAGCATGGCATAGCAACAACATGCAAAGGAAAGGAAACAGGAAATTAGGTCAAACAAGGTAAGCTATGTGTGGCAGCCGCAGCAGCTGCGGTGGCGTATCTCTACAACTTCAAGTAGAATTTTTCCAACATATCGGTCGCTTGTATCTTCGAGGCTGCCAGCCAAGATGTTTCTGAGGATAACATGGAAAATTTTTACTGAAAACTTGAATATAATGAAAAATTAGAATTTCTCCAAATGTATGTGTGTGTGCGTGCCTTGGCATCTGTGTCAATTACCACATGATTATTTGTGTACACACATGTATTTGTCACACTTTTCTTCTTCTTCATCATCTTATATTATTTAATTTCTATCCTTATAATTAATTCATCAATTCATATCCTTGCAATTGATTATTTAATGAGTTTATAATATGCTTAACTCTGTATCTCTGTCTATTTCTCTTATCTTTGCAGGATGAAAAGAATCAATTGCTGGTCACAAATGTTTGGTTGAAATTGGTAAGTAATTGGTTAAATGGAAATATCTGAATTAATAGCTGAGTAAATCGCCTTTGATTGACTTGGGTTATGAGGTCAAGAGAAATGTGGGTGTATATTTTAATTTAAATTTTACATTTTTTTTTTGAAAGGGATCCTTAGAAAGAATTATTTCTTTCATGTGGTTGATAAGCGATTCATAGATATTGTATGCCATGGTTATAATAGACCATAAGAACGGGGAAAAGCGATAAAATAATAAAAAATCAGGAGATTAAAGGTCATTTTTTAATTAATTTTTTAAAAATATGCCAAGGACTCTGATCGTGAATTTTTTGAAAAATATTCCTAGGACTTTAAATGTGGATTTTTTACGGAATTATTAAGAAATATTCCCCAGTATTCTTAATGTATATTTTTTAATGAATTATTTGAAAAATATCCAATGATTCTAAATTCGGATTTTTTTATAGAATTTATAAAAATATTCCCAGGACTCTAACTTTTGAAAAATATTCCAAGGACCCTAATTATTGATTTTTTAAAGAATTTTGGAAAAATATTCTAAAGACTCTAAATGCGGAATATCTTAAAAAATTGAAATATATTCAAAGGACTTTAAATGTGGACATTTTAAAGAATTTATTAAAAATATTCCAAGGATTCTGATTCTGGATTTTTTAAATAATTTTTTAAAAGTATTCCAAGAACTCTAAACGAGGATTTTTACAGAATACTCGAAAAATATTCTAAGGACTCTAAATGTGGAATTTTTGTAAAAACATTCTAAGGAATCTAAATGTGGTAATTTTAAAGAATTTGAAAAGTATAAGAGGGTCCCTAAATATGGATTTTTCAAAGAATTTTTTAAAAATTATTTTAAGGACTGAAAATTTGGATTTTTTAATGAAAATTTGAAAGATATTCCAGGTACCTTAAATGTGGGTTTTTCAAGAATTTTTCAAAAAAAAAAATCCAAGGACTCTTAGCGTAGATTTTTGAAGTATTTTTTCTTTAAATATCCAAAAACCCCAAATTTAGATTTTTTAAAGAATTTTTGGAAATTTTTTCCAAGGACTCTAAACTTGGATTTTTTAAAGAATTTTTTAAAAATATTCAAATTACTCTTAACTAGGATTTTTAAAGAATTTTTTAAAAATATTCAAAGGACTCCAAACGTGGATTTTTTAAAGAATTTTTAAAAAAATATTCAAAAGACTCTAAACGTGGCTTTTTAAAAAAATATATTAAAAATATACAAAGGACTCTAAACGTGGATTAAAAATAAAAAAAAAATATTAAAAATATTCAAAGGACTCTAAACGTGGATTTTAAAAAAAAAGATATTAAAAATATTCAAAGGACTCTAAACGTGGATTTTTTAAAATATTCAAAGGACTCTAAATGTGGACTTTTTTAAATAAGTTTTAAAAAAATATTCAAAGGACTCTAAACGTGGAATTTTAAAGATATTCAAAGGACTCTAAACGTGGATTTTTTAAAGAATTTTTTTAAAATATTCAAAGGACTCTAAACGTGGATTTTTTAAAGATTAGTTTTAAAAATAATCAGAGGTCTCTAAACGTGGATTTTTTAAAGATTAGTTTTAAAAATAATCAGAGGTCTCTAAACGTGGATTTTTTAAAGATTAGTTTTAAAAATAATCAGAGGTCTCTAAACGTGGATTTTTTAAAGAGTTTTTTAAAAGTATTCTAAGGACTCCAACGTGGATTTTTTTAAAGAATTTTTTAAAAATATTCAAAGGACTCTAAACGTGGATTTTTTAAAGAATTATTTATAAATATTCAAATGACTCTAAACGAGGATTTTTAAAGAATTTTTTAAAAATATTCAAAGGGCTTTAAACGTGGATTTTTTAAAGAATTTTTTAAAAATATTCAAATTACCCTAAACGTGAATTTTTTAAAAATATTCAAAGGACCCTAAACGTGAATTTTTTAAAAATATTCAATGGACTCGAAACGTGGATTTTTTAAAGAATTTTTTAAAAATATTCAAAGGACTCGAAACGTGGATTTTTTAAAGAATTTTTTAAAAATATTCAAAGGACTCGAAACGTGGATTTTTTAAAGAATTTTTTAAAAATATTCAAAGAACTCGAAACGTGGATTTTTTAAAGAATTTTTTAAAAATATTCAAAGGACTCGAAACGTGGATTTTTTAAAGAATTTTTTAAAAATATTCAAAGAACTCGAAACGTGGATTTTTTAAAGAATTTTTTAAAAATATTCAAAGGACTCGAAACGTGGATTTTTTAAAGAATTTTTTAAAAATATTCAAAGGACTCGAAACGTGGATTTTTTAAAGAATTTTTTAAAAATATTCAAAGGACTCGAAACGTTGATTTTTTAAAGAATTTTTTAAAAATATTCAAAGGACTCGAAACGTGGATTTTTTAAAGAATTTTTTAAAAATATTCAAAGGACTCGAAACGTGGATTTTTTAAAGAATTTTTTAAAAATATTCAAAGGACTCGAAACGTGGATTTTTTAAAGAATTTTTTAAAAATATTCAAAGGACTCGAAACGTGGATTTTTTAAAGAATTTTTTAAAAATATTCAAAGGACTCGAAACGTGGATTTTTTAAAGATTTTTTTAAAAATATTCAAAGGACTCGAAACGTGGATTTTTTAAAGAATTTTTTAAAAATATTCAAAGGACTCGAAACGTGGATTTTTTAAAGAATTTTTTAAAAATATTCAAAGGACTCGAAACGTGGATTTTTTAAAGAATTTTTTAAAAATATTCAAAGGACTCGAAACGTGGATTTTTTAAAGAATTTTTTAAAAATATTCAAAGGACTCGAAACGTGGATTTTTTAAAGAATTTTTTAAAAATATTCAAAGGACTCGAAACGTGGTTTTTTTAAAGAATTTTTTAAAAATATTCAAAGGACTCGAAACGTGGATTTTTTAAAGAATTTTTTAAAAATATTCAAAGGACTCGAAACGTGGATTTTTTAAAGAACTTTTTAATGATATTTCAAGGACTTTAAATGAGGATTTTTTAAAAAAAATTTTTAAAAATATCCAAAGGACTCTAAACGTGGATTTAAAAAAAAATATTCCAAGGTTTCTTAACAGGGATTTTAAAAGAATTTTGGTAAAATATTTCAAGGAGTCCAAGGACTTCACTCCAAATGCATTTGACTATCTCTTTTTTAAAAATTATGATTTAATCCATTAACTTATGATAAGACATGATTAATTATAGTCTTCCATTCATAGTTTGAAACGTCTTGGCTTCCTTCGAAAATCCTGCAACTCATAGTTGTGCTGCCTGTCGAAATTTTCCTTTTTCCCTCCCATAAAAGAAAATATCGATCAAATAACATTGCCATGACTACTGAACTTCGGCAGTTACAGCAACAAAATAAAACAAGAACTGACTTCCAAATACAAAAGAATCGGGATAAAGTAATGATTTTAACCCAGGGGAGAAGGATAGTTTTGGGAGAACAAAGGCAACACATAGGGACTCCTGTAGTTGCCATATTTGTTGTTGTTTGTTGTGAGTTGTTTTTTTTTTATTCATTTTTTTCTTCTCCATTTTTGTTGTGGTAATTTGTATGAAACATGCAAATATTCTGCCCAGTCATATCATGGAAAATGGCAAAGAAACAAAAAACACCAGCCATCAACATATTTGTGAACATGTGTGTGTGTTCGGATGTCTTTAACATCAATACATTGAACTTTCTGTGTTGTATCTGAAATTTTCTGATATCCACAAAAAAAAAGGAATAAATAAATAAACAATATCTATAACATGTGCAGTCGTATTGGAAAGAAAAAAATGATCCATGCGCTTCATCCCATCATTCATTATTCATTCCGGGAATAAACCATTCATTTGCTTCCAGGGAACCGCGTCCGTAATGCATTCCCATTTAACTGATGTTTACATTTTATGTGCCGGGCCATCGAATTTATGCGAAATTGTAGGTAAATGTGTTAATGTATGGGCGGTATATCAACATTCATCCATGGCTGCCAAAGAAAAAAAAAAAAATATTTACAATAAATATTCGTTGCTTTTTTATAAAAAATAAAAAAACAGATGTCGGTGGTTGGTAGGTAAAAGGCAAAAGAGAACAAGTAATCTTCTTACAAAAATATGCAAAGAAAGTAGGTGAACCCATACAGCAACTCCATAGATTTGAGGTCGAGCCCTCTTCAGGGTTGGGATGGTTTAGAAGAGCGCCACCAACATTTCAAGATATGTACAACAGAATGGTTTAAAATTTTCTGAAAAATATACCAAGGACTCTAAATGAGGATTTTTAAAGAATTTTTAAAAAATATTTCAAGGACTCTAAACTGGTATTTTTAAAGAATTTTGGCATAATATTTCAAGGGCTATAGATGTTGATTTTTTTAAAAATACAATACAACAGACTATTTGCAAAAATAGCAAAACTAAAACTTTTGAAATTAATACAACACTTCCTGAAGACATGAGATATTTGGCTAAAACTTGTGGCCAAAGACTCTGTGGACATATAGATACTTATAAATAAATTAAAAACTTTAATAAATTTAGGTAGAAAATTGTGACAGAATGTAAGTTTTCGAAAAAAATGGTAAGGACCCTACATATGATTTTTTTTAAAAATATTTAAAGGACTCTAGCTATGGATTTTTTTAAAAACCTTTAAAAAAAAAATCCAAAATTTCTTAACCTGGATTTTTAAAAGAATTTTTTTTAAAAATAATTCAAGGACTTTAAATGTGGATATTTTAAAGAATTTTTGAAAAATATTCCATCGACCCTAAACGTGGATTTTTTCTTGAATTTTTAAAAAATACGTGGATTTTTTAAAGAATTTTCCAAGGACTCTTAGCGTGGGTTTTTTTTATTGTCATATGATACAGGATAAACGGATACATACAAAAGGATACATTAAAAAGTTTGTGCGGAAGAGCTGAGTTAGAAGGATTTTAATGAACGCCATCTATATTTTAATTAATTTTCAGAAAACGATATAGCAAACTGTAATC